TCCTCGGGGCCAAACAATGACGTCTCCAGCAATGTCATTAAGAGCTTTAACAACTCTTATAAAAGAATCACTTGCAGATGATTTTCCCAAATCGAATCGTTCGCTTACGGATCTGCAATATACATATATCACTATCAACATTACTGATAATAACCTAAAAAAATAAAACATCCTATTTTTATGGAGTATTTTTACCTGTAAGAATCAGGAGTAGCGAGAAGCCACAATGTAGATAGCAACTGTTTGCGAACAGGAATGGTAGGTCTGCCCGAATAATTTTCCTTGATCAGTAACAAACTTAATTTTGCTTCTAAAATCTCATACGTGTCAGGAATCATGCGAAAACGTTCACGAAATTGCTTTGCTGTTAGACCTGGAATGGTTCTGTCTACGTAATCTATGATACGCAATAGCTTCTTTCGTGCCCCACGCAATCTATGCTGATATTTTGCCCGAAAAATAATATCCATTTCCTCGTCTGTCTCGCTATCATTCATTATATTTAAATTAGATTTTAAGAATTCGTCACTAGTATTTACAGCTACAGAAATTAAACGTTTTCGACGTAACTCAGCACTATCCATTTTGAATTTGTACCTTTGATATTTTGGTAGTCGTTCGAAAACCAACAGTTCCTTAAGTTCCCGATTACCCCCACCAACGCATCCCTAAGTCACCTCACTCGCGCCGGCAGGAGACGTTTTCGAACGCAGTCCAGTGGGGACGGTAGGTTGTATATTCGGCAGCAGTAGGTCGGCTGGACGCGCTTATTCGGCTATCTTTAAACGTTAATATCTCGTTAACTATTGCGCAACCTACAAAATGGTATAAGATTTTTCGATTTAATTCGGTTCGTTCTACCTGCTCGTGATCGATTAGCCGATAATTTTCAAACACTAAGAAATTTAGAGGAAATGGGCATAACAAAGAAGCTATCAGCGTCGAGGCTGTGTGGCTCAATGGCAGGACGGAAGTCTATCAACTCAGAGGAGAGACCAGGCCTCGGTTCAAGACTCGGAGCGCCCTGATATTTTTCTCGTGTTGTTGCTTATTTCTTACAGTAATTTAATCACGTTTACAATTGACTACTTATTCACAACGCTTGAACAGTGGAAAATACTTTCCAAGCATCAGTTTCTGTGAGTGGATGTGTGTCATTTTATTTTACTTTTAATACATCCTGAAATAGTCCTGAAATCATCCAGAAAGTCCTAAAATAGTCCTGAATATATCCTCAATTAATCCCCGATAATACCACAATGGATGTCCAGCGGATGGGACATAATGAGGCGCTCATGTCATAGTCCATAGGAAGTCCATAAGACGTCTTTGGACTACAATAGGACATCCTGTGGACGTCCCGTTTAGCCGGCAGGACGTCCACAGGATGTCCATAGGACGTCCCTGTGTTATTAGGGTACTTTAGAAGTAATTACGTACACAGCTGGCTTTGTAGCTAGAACCGTTACCAAAAAAATTAATTGTTTGTATTGTAAACAGTTGCTTATTTCAAACGAGACAAAAAAATATTAGATATATGTCGTACTGACAAACTTTTACAGCGAAAAAATCGAGGTGGTTTGTGTCAAGCATCACATAATGTTACTATAGTGTGTAAGATAGCTGAAAAAACTTTAAGAGTGAAGGTAAATTTTCACGGGCTGCTCAAACCGGCTGTTTCAGCGACAAAAAGAATCACGGGGTCAAAATTGACGAATATCAAATGTCCATTATGATCACGTGATCCTTTTTGTCGCTAAAATAGCCGGTTAGAGCAGCTCGTGAAAATTTATCTTTAATCAAAACATATTATTCAAAACTAAAAATATATTACATGTTTTAATACATCAGTTTGAACGCTGTCTTCCATCATACATATTTAATACTGATAATCATATCTTTCTTCAAAAATTTGATCATCGAAGTCAATTGATAAGACTAATTTTGAAAATCTTTTTCAACATACGTCTTAAACATGGAACTGCAACATGTATAAATTTCACTGCAAGAGTAAGAATGAGGAACAACAAATTAACACTTTTTAAAAAGCAGTAAAACTGAAATTGCATACATGTTAAAAGATCTTAAAGTTTTTTCATTATTTACTACACTCAGTACCAAAAAGCAGTATATACTAAAAATCATTATAATATTAAATGTTATGTATTCTTATTATTAATTACTTTATAAATACTTTATTTCTTATAGTTTATCACTGTGTATGCAATAAAAATATCATAAAAATTACGGTTTTATTCATTATAAGATAAAATGTGTTAACATTTTTCATTGATTTGGAGAAGAATGCTCTTTTCGTCAATAGAAAACCCATAAAATATGTAATATTAAACATATAATATTAAATATGTGAAACATGTATTAAACGTAATATTAAATATAAGTATAAATAATGGTAAGCAAGAGCTGTATCTTGCATATTTCATGATAAACTCCTTTACCTTGTGTGCTCGATCTCAACTCAACGGAGTAACCAAATATCTCATTAAGTAGCATTTCTGCAATGATTGTAAACCATTCATCTACCACTTCTGTAAAATTTACCACCCCTATTAAGCTGGACCCCCTACCAGCGCAAATCGGGCCCGGACATATTGAAAAATTTAGTGCTCTTTTGTTGCTAATATGTTGCTCCAGAAAGAATTTTGTTGCTCCAACCGTTCCGCAGTGAAAAAAAATAAAAATGGGTGGGTCCAGCTTAATGAAAAGCTGGACCCCTCCATAGTCAAAAAACGGATATAGAGCTGCAATATCAAAAAAACAAGTA